TATTACTTTTTTGTATTTTTTATTTTGTATTTTTAAATATAATTTCTAATTATTTTAATTTATTTTAATTTATTTAGTATTTATTTAGATATTTTTATTATTATTATTATTATTATTATTATTATTATTAGTATTATTATTATTATTATTGTTATTGATTTATTTTATTTTTATCTATTTATGTTTAGAGAAATTGGTCAAATCTAGTGGTGAAAGAGATTGAAAAAGCTTATTGAAACACCACAGTATTTTATGGCTTCAAATTGGTCAACATCATCAAAATATTTTTCTTCTAAATATGCCTGACAAGACATTAATAATATAACACTGAAGGACATTTTATTTAGTAAATGTGTGTATCTGTGTAAATAGTAAACATGTATGATAGTACTTTATTTGCCTCAGAACTAAACCAATAAAAATGCTGGATTGCACGTTTTGATTCTTATACAAAAATCTATTTTACTCCATTGTACTAAGCATAATAATATCATACACATTCCCAGGCTGAGATTCACCTTCCTCATGTATTATCAAAAGTCAATATAACCGGCTGGTTCCAGTCTTGTCAGAACTTCAGATCAGAACTTGAGCTCTTTTCCTCTCTCACTGGAAGGAGACCTTCAGGTAAATATCACAAGTGTCCACTAGCTGGCGCTATGGATCATTATATGTATTTAATTGTGTATAGTTACAGTATGTTTTGTGTGTTGAAATGCAGACTGCTGTTTAGACCCATACACTGAGCTGCTACTGAATCACAGCACAGTGAACTCAACAGAGCAGCTCATGCTCTTCCAATCATCAGCTGATCCTTATAGAAGAGCAGTTGTACAGATGACTAAACAACTCGCACAGAAATCTGGTAAGATTGAAAAGATTAAACAGTTAAGTGTGTGATATATACAGTACACCACCATGCAAAAGTAATAAATAGTAATAATGCTATTATTTAGCAAGGTTGCATTAAATTAATCAAAAGTGATATTTAAGTATAACGCTTGTAAACGCTTACATAATTTTTTAAGATTAAGTTTTTCTTTCTTTCTTTCTTTCTTTCTTTCTTTCTTTCTTTCTTTCTTTCTTTCTTTCTTTCTTTCTTTCTTTCTATTATTTATTTAGTTAATCATTTATTTTCTTTCTTTCTATTAATTGTTTATTTAAATATTTATTTTATTTATTTATATATCTTTCAATTTATTCATTTAATTATTCATTTATTATTACTTTCTATTTAATCATTGCTTTTTTTCTATGATTTAATTTTATTTATATTTCTTTGTTTATTTTAACTTTCTTTCTTTCTTCTATTATTTATTCTTTTTTTTCTCTTTTTATTTTTTATTTATTTAATCATTTTTTTTCTTTTTTCTATCTTCCTGTCTTTCCTTTTATTTTTTTAATTTAATTATTCTTTTTTTATTTATTTACATTTGTTTTTCTTTGTTTTATTTTAATTCATTCTTTCTTTTATTTATATTTATCCATTAAACTATTCATTTTTTATCAATTATTTTTTGTTCTATTTATATATTTTGATTTTATTTTTTGTTATCTGTGTTTTTTTCCTATTATTTGTGTATGTAATGTTTATATGTATGTGTGTGTGTATATATATGTGTGTGTGTGTGTGTGTGTGTGTGTGTGTGTGTATATGTGTGTGTATATATATATATATATATATATATATATATATTTTTTTTTTTTCAATGTCATCTTTTTTTAATGGTTTTGTTTGGAAATTTATATTTCTTTTATATATCTATCTTGCTTTATATTTTTTATCTTTTTATATATTTATTAGGTTTTTTTCCTATTTATGTTTTTGTTTATTTTTTTATTTATTTCTATCTTTTTGTCTTTTTTTTCTTTGTTTATATTCTAGATTTATATCTATCATTATGAACCGTCTCTTTAAATCATTCTACAGACCACACTTATGAATTCAACAAATAGTTCAACATTTAAATGTACTTCCCTCCATATATTGAGTCGTTTGTTATTATAGGCAGGCTGAATGAAACAACAGTGGGTCGGAAACTGTATGCTCTAGTCCTCCGTAGGATCAGCAGAGCTCACAATACGAAGGTTTTCACCAGGGTGATGCCTTTGCTGCTTCAGTCTGGCTGTTTGGGAGATTATAGAGCATTACATCTGTCTTCAGTGCTCTACAGCACTGGATTCACAGACAAGAGACAAACCTACAAGGTGTGTGTTTTGGGTTTAATGTGACGGTTGCTTTAAAAATGCATTCAATAGTAGCCAGGTTTCCATCCAAAAGAGAAAAAAAATCCCAAATACGAATTAACCGCAACTTGTTAGAGTGGCTCACTGTAGTATTGGTAACCTAGCAAGCAACAGTAAACAAGTCAATAATGGAGACAGCTGACTGATAACATACACTAAATTAAGAGTTTGTTCAGCAAATGTGTTTCCATCTCCCGTTATACCCCAAGTCCAAAACCACCTCAACCGATCGTAAAAAGGTTTTTAGCAGTTTAAGGGACTTTTGTTTGAAATTTGCCATTTTCATCACTCATTTCTCATGCAATACTTCAAAATGTGCATTAAGACGGTGCAATGGAAACCCAGCTACTGTGATGTAATGAATGAGTGATCATTTGACTTGTGAGCTGATGTGTGCTTCTGCAGGCTTGGCTGTTGGCTCTGTTGGCAGCTCAGAAAGACTGGAGACTGGCACTCATGCGTTTAGGCCACATGCATCATGTTGGTGATCTGGAAGTGACCGCTGATCGTGACCTTTCCTATGCCTATTACATTAACATTGCAAGACAAACCAGCGTGGATCAGAAGAATCCCTCTGCACAGCAAGTTAGACTTTTAAAAAAATTATTTATTCATTTATTACAGGCTTCACATTTTTACACTATCTCTAAACTGAGAAACTTGCGCATTCCAAAATTGAAAAAAAAATTGTAAGGCGTGTCGGTCTATATGTAAACTTTTCAGTTATTACCACACACTTTTTTTGGCTTAGTTGCAAGGAGGAAACACTATACTCAATGGGCAGGTATAAACCAGTGATTTATTAAACATACAGGGTGAACATCATAATTCAGCCACATTAGATTACATTTTGCGATTTTTCTCTCTCTTCTCTCCTTTTTCTGACCAATCACAATCATGGATCCCTGATCTCATGATATTGTTCACAATCTTATTTAAAGGTATAGTGTTTTTTTTTTTTTTTTGGGGGGGGGGGTTAAATTTGGAGTTATTAATTATTTTTTATTTTTTGAGTTTAACAAGACAATACATCATAGTATACAATACAACAAAGGAAAAATTACAGAGTGTCTTATTTTTCTTATTTTCCCACTATACCCTTGAAATAAAATAAATTAGAATGTATGAATTATAAACAAACATATCCTCTAAAAGAAATAATAATAATAAATTAAAAATAAAATACCAGAATTAAAAGAAATTGATAAACAATATAATAATAAATGAGCAAGTTTACGATAAAAGCAAAAAATAAATAAATAAAATAATAATAATAATAATAATAATTTAAAAAATAATAATTAAAAGTTCACATTAAGGAGTCAATATTTCCTCTTTTCAATTAATTACTGTTTATTAGATCTGATATCGACTAAACAAGGTAAGCCTTTGATATAGTCTAAAACAGGGTTCCAGGTCTTGTAAAAAGGTTTGAGAGATCCTGCAAGTAAACATCTTAATTTTTCAAGTTTTATGTAACTAAAAATTTCTCGGATCCACATGTCATGTGATGGAGGAATCACCTGTTTCCATTTGATAAGAATGGCTCGTCTAGCTAGAAGAGTAGAAAAAGCAATAACCTGGCGAGATGCAACAGTCAGGTCAACTCTCTCTGAAATACCAAAAAGCGCTGTCAAGGGGTTAGGGTCTAGATTTATGTTAATAGATTTAGTAAGTGTGTCAAAAACACTGGACCAGAAATGTTTTAATTGAGGGCAACTCCAGAACATATGAAGATGGTTGGCCGGAGACTGCTTACAACGATGACAGGCATCGCTTCTATCAGGGAAAATTTTAGCTAATTTGGCATTGGTTAAATGAGCTCTATGGAGTACCTTACACTGCATTAGGCCATGTTTGGCGCATATGGAAGAAGAGTGGACCATCTTTAAAATATCTTCCCATTGTTCTTCCGTAATAACAACACCAAGGTCATTTTCCCAAGATTCTTTGAGAGAAACTATAGGATTTTCATTAAGTGTACTTATTAAATTATAAATTGCGGATATTAAATGTTTCTGACCCGTATCTAAACTGACAAAATAATTTAAAGGTATAGTTAAACATTAGTTTTACTTTAAATTTCTCTCCCTACAAAATAATAAACTTTACATTTTACAAGTTGTCAGAGATCTTTTGCAATGAAAATAAATTAGGTTGGAGGAAATAAAGTACTGTACATTTAGCTTTACTGCATAAGCAAATAAATTACAGTACCTCAGGTAAACACATTTTAAATCAGAACTTAATATTGTTTTTAATTTGCTGGAGAATGCAAACGTTTTGTTAAGTTTGTGAGGGTAACATTAGTTTTGCCTGTGGAAAGATTTATTTTATTTATTTATTTTTTGCCTCAAAAAGCTGAAAATGTTCAGTAATTTAGCTAAAGTACTCACAGATTCTCAGGTGATATAATTTAGCAAGAAATCAGTTTTTTTTTAGGGAACCTTAAGGAGTTTTATGTATTTCTACAGTTCATTACCCCCAGCCCCATCCCCTAAAAAAAATCCCCAAATGTTTCCAAATCTTAAGTTTCTTTTTTTTCTGTTGATCAAAACATTCATTTTAAAGAACGTTTAAAAGTGGTTATCGCTTCAAAAGTAGGAAGAGCAATTGCTATAGACGTCGAGGGTTAAAGCTTTCTTCAAATTATCTTTTGCCTTCACAGAATACAGCAACTCCTACTGGGTGAGTGAAAACAATGACAGAATTTTCAGTTTTGTGTGAACTAGCCCTCAAAACCTGACTTGCGCTGAGAGGCACAAAACTCAAATACAGCAAATCTATTCTGTCTGATTTTCTTACAGATATTTTTTGAGTCATTGCTGGATTTTCATTGTTTTGAAATGACATCATTCATAAGAAACGTTCAAGGTTTTCTATGATTGCATGTTAGATGTAATGCCAATAGCAGTTATTCACCTTTTGTACAAGGCAATTTCTGTGTCTTTCTAATTAAGGTGTCATTGTCTCTCTAGATGTTTGTTGAGGTTGTACGTCTACAAAAAAAAAAAAAAAAAAATCCTTTGCAAAAATTCTTGAAAACTTGATGTAATGACAATAAATTGGGTTAGAGGAAATAGAAAGTACTGTACATTAGCTTTACTGCATGCGCAAATAAATTACAGTACCTCAGGTGAACACATTTTAAATCAGAACTTAATATTTTTTTTTATTTGCTGGAGAATGCAAACGTTTTGTGAGTTTGTGAAGGTAACACGTTAGTTTTTCCTGTAGATAAACGTTTTCGCCTCACAAAACTACTGAAGATGTTCAGTAATATTGCTGAAGTACATACAGTTTCTCAGGGGATGTAATTGTTTTGCAAGAGATCAGTTTTTTTAGAGAACCTTAAGGAGTTTTATGCATTATGTTTTATGTATACTATTTTCTCAACTTCAGGATGTAAATTAAACAACTAAATGCTTAGTTCATTCGCCCAACCTCCACCCCTCCCCAAATAACACAGATTACTTATCCTCAAGTGTTTGCAAACATTAAGTTTCTTTTTTTTTCTGTTGAACAAAAAAGATCTTTTAAAGAATGCTTGAACGTGGTTATCTCCTCAAAAGTAGGAATAACAATTACTATAGAAGTCAATGGTTAAAGGTTTCAGCTTTCTTCAAATTATCTTCTTTTGCGCTCAACAGAATAAAGCAAATCATGCTGGGTTTTTGAACAAGGGTGAGTAAACGATGACAGAATTTTCAGTTTTGTGTGAACTATCCCCCAAAACCTGACTGCTGAGAGGCATTAAAAAACGTAAAATATTTGTAAGGAAATCAGGCTGAATACATTCGCTGGATTTTTATTGCTTTGAAATGACATAATTCATAGGAAATGTTCAAGGTTTTCTATGATTACTTGTTAAAAGTAAGGCCAGTAGCAATTATACACCTTTTGTGCAAGGCAGTTTCAGTGTCTTTCTAAAAAACATTTCATCGTCTCTCTCTAGACATTTGTTGAGGTTGTACGTCTAAATGATGAAGAGACCCTGAAGGCTCAAACCAGTGAAAATGATGATCTGTTTCACTGGCTGAAGCTGCAGGCACGAAGTGGAGTGGCTGAAGCAGAGGTACCAGAATTCATAATGTGCAAAAATAATACCAATAACATGAATTATCTTGCACTGTTTTTATTTTATTTCTCTTACATGAATTCGATTTTGTGTGTTTTTAATATTTTATATAATACAAGAACTAATTTCAGACACAATAAGATTTCAATGTTTTATTTTTATTTTTTCCTAAGTGGTCTCCTGTTTACCAATGCTAAATTTATTTGTTAATAAAAAATCGAATTCATTGAATCACTCACAGTTTTATTTTCATGAATTTATTACTTGATCTTTTTAATAATAAAGATCATTTATCTGAAATTGTGGATATAATGAACAATTCTAAATTATTATTATTATTATTATTATTATTATTATATGTATTATTATTATCATTATTATATTTTTTATTCATTAGCAACCAATGGGTCATATGCTGTTGTTTCAATTTAGGCTATTTTAAAGTAGAATTAATTTATGTGATAGCAATTTAATTGTCATCATCGTTGTATTCACATCAGTCTTCAAATATTCAGAAATTATTCTAATATGCTGATGTGGAGATCAGCATATTAGAATAATTTCTGAATATTTGAAGACTGATGTGAATACAACGATGATGACAATTAAATTGCTATCACATAAATTAAATTAATTTAATTTATTATTATTATTTGTTTATTTAATTTATTCTTTATTTTTATTTATTTAATTTATTATTATTATTATTATTATTATTATTATTAACTTTTTTCCTTTATTTATTTTCTTATTCATTAGCAAGCAATGGGTCGTATGCTATTCTGGGGTCAGCAAGGATTGTCCCCTGACATTCAGACAGCAGTGAAGCATTATGAGAGAGGAGCCATCAAACTCAATGACCCTGTTTCCATGTATGACTACGCCATTGTGCTCCTGACAGTCAGTATACTTCATATATACCCTGTTTGTATCTGATCTTGTGTTTAAAAAGGAAACAATATGTAATATGACCAGCAGAGGGCAGTCTTTCAAAGCATTTTGAGTTAATATTACTGAAGAGGAAGCTTGGAGGACAGTAAGCTTACTAAATATCACACTTGCTTCTGTTAACAGGGTCAAGGAGTTCAGAAAGATGTTCGCAAAGCTGTTACGTTCCTTAAGAAAGCTATAGAACAGGTAAATACATCAAATCCAATGTTGGGGGTCTACATGAAAGTGATTAGGGGTCTGTAAATAATTTATTTAAATTTAATGAAAATTACTAAAAATCTAAATAAACTAATCAAATTTAATAAAGCATTATTGATAATATTAAAATGTATAAAATAAACAGTTGGAAAATGATTCATGAGGTATTATAGTTAGACCAATGATGTAAAACCATGTATTTAAAAACTAGAAGAAACATTTATACATTTTAAATAAACTTAAACATGTCATCATAACAATGTTAAAATTATTAATTAAATTAATATAATTATTAATTATTAATAAAATTATTATTATTATTATTATTATTATTATTATTATTATTATTATTATTATTATTAATCAATATTTATTCATTATAAATGTATAAATAACTGTTGTTATGTCCTATCTAGTGGCCACGGCATATATCTTGCTGTAATTGACAGTAGTTACTTTACTTTTTGTAATAATATTAGTAAAATTACTTCACTAAAATTTATTTTAATACAGGAAAAATCCAAAAAACATTCTCACACACACACAAAAAAATTAATAAGATTTACTCAATTAAAAGTCTACTTACTATAATAATAATAAAACAGTTGTTCTACAGTATATACATATAAAGTATATTAAACACAATATTTATTTATTCATTTATTTAATGTAGTACTTTAGTCCTATTAGGTAAAAATTACCTAAAATTAAGTCTTAAACCAGTGCTTCTCAACCACATTCCTGGAGGACCACCAGCTCTGCACATTTTCCATGGCTGTTTCTCAATTCCAAGAACACAGAACGAGTTATCTCGGAAGAACAAACTCAGGAGACCGCGAGAACAGAAAATGCGTCCTGTGAGATATGAGCTGCGTTCTTCCCTGAGTGTTCCTGATGGTCACATGACCTTCATACTTTTTAATGGAAAATTATTTAAACATTTCAGCATTGGTACTAAGATTTACTGTTTTTTTTCCCCTTCTCATAATATATACTCTGCATAAAACCTTACAAATAAACGTTGCACAATATAAATAAAACAGATTTTACACGAATTTCAACAAATCAACACCCATAATGTGTTTATGCCTTTCATGCCTTTTTATGTTAATGTTTACAGTAACAGCTTCTTTTTTTTTGATGGTCTATTTGACTATTAGTAGACTGTCTGCTTAATATCTGCTGATACTGCTCCTTTAACAGACATTAACTGACTATAAGAAACTTTGCAAGTACATGTCAACAACACTAACCCTAGCCCCAACCTAATACTCTACTAATAATATAATGAGAATTACTTCACATGATGCAGTGCAACAAATTTAACAAACGGACCGTCAAAATAAAATGTGACCATGTTTACTTTCACAGTCTCATTTAAGGAAACTCCTGAGATAAATAAGATATATTTTACATTTTTGTTTAGTCATTTAGCAGACGCTTTTATCCAAAGCGACTTACAAATGAGGACAAGGAAGCAATTTACACAACTATAAAAACAACGAGTAAGTGCCATAGGCAAGTTTCAGGTATGCAAAGAAAGTGCAAGAAGCAAAACAGTAGTATTTTTTTTATGTAGTTAGTGGAGGGGTTAGAAAGGTAATTGCAGATTAGTAAGGAAAGTGGAGAATAAATAGTTAAGTTTTAAGTAGTTTTTTGAAGACAGCGAGTGACTCTACCGTTCTGATGCAGTTAGGGAGTTCATTCCAACAACTGGGCAGATTGAGCGTGAGAGTTCGGGAAAGTGATTTCTTCAATCTTTGGGATTGAACCACGAGGCGACGTTCATTCACAGAACGCAAGTTTCTGGAGGGCACATAAATCTGCAGAAGTGAGAGCAAATAAGAAGGGGCGCAGCCAGAAATCGCTTTGTAAGCAAACATCACAGCTTTGAATTCAATGCGAGCAGCAACTGGCAGCCAGTGCAAACGGATGAGCAGCGGAGTGACATGTGCTCTTTTAGGTTCATTAAAGACCACTCGTGCTGCTGTGTTTTGAAGCATCTGAAGAGGTTTGATAGAGCTAGCTGGGAGCCTGGCTAGTAGGGAGTTGCAATAGTCCAGTCTGGAGAGAAGGAGCTTGAACAAGGAGTTGAGCTGAACTTTCTCTGAGCTTTAATAATAAATCTATATAGAATGCTGCGCTTTCCACCTCCTAAATTCAGCTGCAATTAATCCTGGGACTTCTCGAGTGAGTTTTGCACTCAAGTCTGCATCGGTGCATCCTCTATCAAGAACACATCTGGGAATTTCACCTGTCCTCTGTTCTTGCTGTCTTGAGATTTGTAACTGAACTTTGGCAGTTGATGATGACGTTACACGAGATCATGAGGATCTCTGAAGAATGCATATTGAAAAACAGCCCATGTCTCCTGAACCAAACACACCTGATTCAGATCATCAGTTCATTAACACATACTGAAGGACCTGTTATGGGTGTGACAGACAAAGGAGACAATTAAAACATGCAGTGTTGGTGGCCCTCCAGGAACGTGGTTGAGAAACACTGATCTAGACAGTGAATGTTATCAGATGTAATGGATTCTCATGCAGTTGATGGTCTTGACTGATGTATTAACAGTCTGTCACTCATCTGCCGGTCTGTAAGTGGTTTTTCCATCTGCCAGGGGTCTGTTCCCGCTCTCACCGCTCTGGGCTGGTACTATGAGCAGTATGAGAAGGATTACGAGAAGGCTGTACATCTGTGGGAAGAAGCTGATGCTAAAGGTCATGCAGACGCTGCCATGAATCTGGGCGTATTCCACTCACAGGGTCTTTATCCTGGACAGCCTGCAGACCCGGTAAATACTTGCATTATTGTGTGCTTTAATAATGTATTGTGTGTCTTATTAATCCGTAAAGATATATATATATATATATATATATATATATATATATATATATATATATATATATATATATAAAGGTTATAAAAGATAATCATTTTTTTAATTATATGTAAAAAATCAATATTACACTGCAGTCTGAGATACTTGATTCTGATTGGTCAGCCATTACATTCCAAAGTATGTTTTTCCCTGATAACTGACTATAAGTGAATATGCTCATATCCATATTCATATGCTTATGTCACGTCACTGTTACAGTTTAGCTGTTACTTTATTGTTCCTGTGCCTTAATAAAATGTAGGTTAGTTTATGCTCCATTCAGCCATTTTTGTTTCTTAAATTAAAGATTTAATAAACTATTACCATTTAGGACCTTGTTTTGTGGCTAATTTTGTGGTGTAATAAGCAGGATGAAGTACATAGATACAGTGTTTTTTCGCAGAAAAAAAAAATACATTTGATGGTGGGATGCCAATAAACCAATCCGGAGTTATGTTAGGGATTAAGTATATTCAGACGGTTGTTATCGCATAATAAAGCTCGACTGGATTATCGGTAGCCCAAAGCAGAAAACTGTTGTATAAGGTTTATCTTGAGCCATCCTGGAAATACTTTTCCTGCTTATTACATGGCTACTTGCCACAAAACATAACAGTTAAACACAAAGCATTGTTTTGAGATGTAATATTTTTGTCCCAGAGATGGGTTGCAGCTGGAAAGGCATCTGCTGCATAAAACGTGCTGGATGGGCGACCCCAGATTGATGGAGGGACCAAGCCGAAAAGAAAATGAATGAATGAATGAATGTAATAGTTTATTAATTCTTTAATTAAATGCAAAGCTGACAGAAACAAAAGAGCTGATGGAGTATACACTAACCTGCACTTCAAGTCACAAGATAGCGCCAAAATGTCAAAAACCGTGGCATGATAAACAAGCAGCTGAATATGAATGTTGATGTAGGTACATGGATGTGAACATTGATGGTCAAAAGGAATTGAAGTTCTTGGATCAGTATGCGTTATTTAGCAGTTGTTATCTCGGAATATCATATCTTGGAATGATGCGACTAACCAATCAGAATAGAGTTTTCCAGACAATCTTGTAATTATGTCAGATAACAACTGCTGAAAATAATAACACAGACTCATGGGTATTTCAACTCCTCTTTATCATCAGATAATGCGTCAAAATTCATATTTATTTGCTTGTCTAACATGCTGCTGTTTTTGACTGTTTGGTGCCATCTTGGGACTGAATAATATGTAGGTTAGCGTATGCTTCCATTCAGCTGTCTTTTGTTTCTGTCAGCTTTGCTTTTTAATTAAAGATGTAATAAACCTCTGTTTTCCAGTTTTGTGATAAGTAGACATGTTATAAGCAAGGTTATTATAGTTAACGAAAACTAAAGTTTTAAATAATTGTTGTTAACTATAATAAAAATGAAAACGAGAGTTTTTCAAAAAACTAGAACTAACTGAAACTGTATTGTGTACATGCAAAACTAACTAAAATTATAGCAAAAACCTCCTTCGTTTTCATTTTTTTAAATGTTATTAATACATAATCTTAGGCTGCGTCCGAAACCACCTACTACTCAGTAGGTACTGAATTTAAATTTAAACGTACTCCTCGGCCATTAGAAAAGTTTGTTCTATTCAGTATGAATATGAAAAGTATGATTGGAATTTAGGCGTACTACACCCGGCATTTTGTCATGGTCACATGACCTACATGTGTCATTTGCGTCGCTTCACACCCATTCATGAATTCTCTTGCGGGGCATCATGGGATAGTGCAGCATGCATGGGATGCGCACTTCAGAATCTCACCGAAAGTAGTAAGACATCCGGGTACTTCTCGCATACTGATTTACGAATTCTATGAGTTTAGAAATACTACTCGGCTTGCATACTGATTTTAGCGTAATGAATAGTATGCAAGCATGCGGTTTCTGATGCAGCGTTACTGTACGCCTTTTAGAAATCTAATTCACGCTGCAGGTGTTTGACCGTATGGCACCTCAGAGTCTGTAATCCTGCTGCCATTGGCCAGATCAAACCGGTTCTTCTACAGTCATCCTTGCTGTTGCTTCCGCGACTAAAACAACGAGTGGACATGACCGCAGTACGTTGACAATGGGTTTTATCTCTGTATCGCGATCACGAATTAATCTTTTTAGCTGGATCTTCAAAGTGAACAGGTTGAACTAGTTCACCTAATCGAACTGAATCATTTGAAATGACTCGCGTCTCCAGTAAGCACTTATCCATAAACTGCTTACTTTTTAACAGGCCTAATACCACCCTCTGACTCTAAATAATCCAATATATAGTCTCATTCAGTTATTAGAACAGTAACGTTACTCTGAGATCAAATTGAGAAGCGGTGAACCGATAATACAGCGCATGCGGGATTCAGTGAACTAAACCTAAACAGTACATGAAAGCCTGCTGTGACTGAACTAAACTTGAACACCATCATCGCTGGTAAACAGAAGGCCTAATGTTAAATAAAAGGATCTGGTGAAACGTAAGTTTATTTCATAACAGAAAGTCGTAATGGAATTTAAATAAGTTAATCATGCTTCAGTTGGGTTGCAGAATTTTACTGCAAGACATTTTCAGATCATGTTGATATTTTAACTGACTGAAATTGCTTTTGTTGACTACATAATTTGAATATGTTGAGTCCTAACATCAGCAGTAAATATCTGAACTTCCCATCACTACTGTGTAGCTAACCTCAGAAGCAGCCTTGCACACATTCCTTAGGGCTGCTGGTGGGCTCTTGTATTTGAAATTGAGGATGGGTAGATGGTAGTGGTTGATGGTTGTGGTCATGTGTGCTTTGAATACATATTTAAAAAAATGTATGGCTGAGTTTTTATTATACAATATTTATTCTGATGATTTTAAATCTTGCACCTAACAAATATCCTTACTTAGAAAAAAAAAAACTAATACTGAAACAAATAAAAACTAAACTAAAACTAAGCAATTTCAAAATATAGAAACTAAGAAAAACTAAATTTACCTCAAAAATCTAAATAAAACGAACTGAATTTGAAAACAAAGTCAAAACGAAATAGAAACTAAAACTTATAAGGAATCTATTACTCTTATAACCTTGGTTGTAAGTAGGATTAAGTTGTTGTTTTTGCAGAATAGGTTCCTTCGGTCAGTCAGACTTAACTCTGTGATAACAGCCACCTCGATGTACTCTATTTCTCCCTAGATCTTTACATTTTCTTACTTTTTTAAAACTTTTTTTTATTGTTTTAAAACTTATTGGAATGCTCTCATTATTTCTCTTTTGTAAGTATTATACGTATGGACTTATCTAATGTGGACTCTTTTCATCAGTTCAAAGGGTATAAGTATTTTCTGAAGTCAGCTCAGAGAGGACTTTTATCTGGTGGCATTGAATTGGCTGATATCTGGATTCATGGACTCCCTGGTCAAGTTGCTCGACGTCCATCAGACGCTGTTCTGTATGTATCTCAAAATACTTGTTCATCATAATATAACACTGTTATTGTTAGTCTACACGCAATATATCAGTGTGCACTTGTTCAGTCAGTATGAACTAGCAAGATCCCGATTCTGCCCACAATCCCATACATCAGTGGTTCCCATAGTGGGGGTCGCATGACAATGAGAGGGAGTCGCTTAGTGATTTCCAAAAATCGAATAAACTAATAAACTTTTGAAATGACCATTGTTAATCCACAACCTACAGAAGATAAAACTAGTTGCATTAAAATACATGCAAATATATATATTTTTCCATTCAATTGGTGTGTTTACGTTAGATTAACAACACTGCAATAGTGTCATTTGCAGCAGATGGATTTTATGTCACCAGCCTAAACTTTGACACCTTTATGGCAATCAGGTACATTTAAAATAAACACAGGCCACAACTGTACATGGAAGATGATCTCTGAGAGGCAGTCTCTAAAATTAAACCAAGAAAACACTTGGGATGTAACTTAAACTTTGTGCCCACCAGTCTCATTAGGTTAACATTAAATAATAATAATAATAATATTAATAATAATAATAATAATAATAATAAAAAATGATAAGGTTGTGTTGTCAGTATGCTTGTGTTTACATTGGTGTGTGTGTGTGTGTGTGTGTGTGTGTGTGTGTGTGTGTGTGTGTGTGTGTGTGTGTGTGTGTGTGTGTGTGTGTGTGTGTGTGTGTGTGTGTGTGTGTGTGTGAGAGCCATTGCATGCAACGCTTGTATGATCATAACTACTTTTATTTAACTGCTATTATATCTTTTTATCTTTAAATGAAATAATAATAATTGTTATTTTTGTTTTAATATGATGATGATTTCTTCTTCTTCTTCCTCTTCTTCTTCCTCCTTCCTCTTCTTCTTCTTCTTCCTCCTTCGAGGTTTATTGTATTTTGTTTCTTTAATTGCACAGGTTTTTTTTTTAATTGCGAGGTTTATTGTTGCTTAATTTTTATTTTAGCTGGTTGATTATTATTATTATTTTTTATCATTATTATAGCATTGCTGCGATATTTGTTCTTTAATAATAATTATTTCATAGAAGGTTTTTAGGTTTGTTGCTTTATTTTTATTTTAATTGGTTGATTATTATTATTATTGTTGTTGTTCTAAACAAAAATAACAATAATTAAAAATATTATATTTTATATAATTACTTTATTTTTGTTATAAAAAGTATAAAAATGTAGTAGTAGTTGTAGTAATAATAGTCATATGATTAATAACAATAATAATAATAATAAGAGATTTTTGTGCAATTTAAAGAAACAAAAATACATATTTAAAAAATTTGTAAACCATTTATTTAAGATTACTGGTAGTCCATTATTAATTATTTATAAAATCTTTCTTTTAACTATACAAAATTTACCTTGAATTAATAAAAAACAAACTTTTATTTTTTGTAATTAATACATTTTGTTTACAATTATTCTTAAATTATATAAGCAATAATAAATTGTTATATTTGTTTCTTTTAAAATTAAATAAAAATAATTCAATTAGGTTTATTGTGGCTTCATTTTTTAATTTATATTCGTTGTTGTTTGTCATTTTTATTATTTATTATTATTATTATTATGAATAACTATTGATTATATAATTAATTTTAGCGTTTGTGGTTACATTATTCTTTTTGTTATTAATTTATTACATTTTATTCTTTCAGTGTTTTGGAGTATACTATTATGAACACATAAACCTTAATTTGATTTCACATGAACTTTGTGTACAAAATCAAGTTTTTAAAGGGATAGTTAACTCAACTAAAAATTCTGTCATCATTTACTCTCTCTTCACTTGTTCTAAACCTGTTTGAATGTCTTCTGATGAGCACAAAAGAAGATCCTTTAAAGGAGTGGTCCTCAAACTGTGGTATGTGTACCACTAGTGGTACGCAGGCTTCCTTCTAGTGGTATGTGGAGGAATGAAATATGTCATGTACATGCAACTCACATTTCAAAATTTATCAAAAATGATGTATATAATTTGACACATTATAAAACATTGGGTCAAAAATGTAACTAAAAAACGCAAACCAACTGTTTTCCCATACTTGACTCAAAATTGATTGAAAGCAACTAATTTTATGAAGTGAATGATATCAGTGTTTCTCTGCATCTGCTGAAGGATGTTGATGATACATTGTACAAGTTTAATCTGGTAAATGAGATTCACTCTTATTTCACCACTGGACTGTTTTTAAGTCAACATTTTACTATTGTAATTATAGGAAAGGTGTGTATTTTTTTCTTTTACTTGTAGGTGGGTTAAATGGGCGTCTGAACAGAATGGGCATCTGGGAAGAGTCTTACGGAAAGGACTGAATGCTTATTTCAGAGGAAACTGGTAAACCTTTGTTTAAGCTGTACATGCAGTCTACTGTACTTGTATGTTTAAAATATTAGCTTACACCGTCAAAAAACAAAACAAAAACTATATTTCAGATTTTACAATTTATACTGAATTTGACTAATATTTTCTGATTGTTTTACCTGTATAACCACATTCAGAAGAGGACAATTGATAAAAAAACAAATTAAATGCTTTTATTCTAATTATTAAATTTTTTTATTATTATTATTATTATTATTATTATTAGATTTTAAGAACATTGCTATTACATTGGTTTATTTTTATATGAAATAATAATAATTGTGTGTGTGTTTTTTAATTGGTTGTTGATGATGATTATTATTATTATTTATTATTATTATTGTTATACCATTGCTGTGATATTTGTATAATAATAATAATAATAATAATAATAATAATAATAATAATAATAATAATTTTATATAAAGTTTTTTAAAGTGTATTTTTTATTTTAATTGGTTGTTTATTATTATTGCTATTATTAATGATGATGATGATAATAATAATAATAATAATAATAATAATAATAATAATAAATAATCATCAACCAATCAAAAACAAGAATAAAACACTGTTATTATTATTATTATTATTATTATTAATATTATTAATATTATTAGTATTCATTCATTCATTCATTAATTTTGTTGTTGGCTTAGTCTCTTTTTTAATCTGGGGTCGCCACAGCAGAATCAACCACCAATAATATTATTATTATTATTATTAATATACCATTGTTGTGATATTTGTTCAATAATAATAATTTTATTATAATTTTTTTTCGGTTTATTTTTGCTTTTTATTTTAATTTTATTTGGTTGTTTATTACTATTATTATTATTATTTATTATTATTATTATTATTATTATTATTATTATTATTATTATTATATTAAAAAATAACATTAAAATAATTTTATTATGTTTTTGAGGTATAAAAATGTAGTAGTAGTAGTAGAAATAATAATAATAATAATAATAATAATAATAATAATAATAAGATATTTTTTGTGCAATTAAAGAAACAAAAATAATTTTTTTAAGGTTACTGGTAGTCCATTATTAATTATTGATAAAATCTTTCTTTTAAATGTACAAAATTGACCTTGAATTAATAAAAAAACAAACTAAATTTTTTTTGTAGTTAGTACATTTCGTTTACAATTATTTTTAAATTATAAAAAGCAATTATAAATTATTTTATATTTGTTTCTTTTAAAATTAAATAAAAATAATTTATCTAAGTTTATTGTGGTTTTATTTTTTTATTTAATTGTTGTCGTTGTTGTTGTTGTTGTTATTATTATTATTATTATCATTATTATTACTATTTATTCGATAATTAATTTTATCGTTTATAGTTATAAATAATAATAAAAATAGTAATATAGCTTTTTATTCTTTCATTATTAACTATACATATTTGACTTTTGACATTACTTTTTCAGGCATTGATCTATAATTCCATAATATTAAATTACAGTTCATTTTACAGTATATTAAAGTACAGTGCTTTTAACCTTTTTTTTTTTTTTTTTTTTTTAACACACTTTGTAAGGATGCTGAAAAGACGGTTTTTGTTTATAGTGTCTTTTCTCTCTCTCTCTCTCTGTGTGTGTGCGTGCGTGCGTTATTTTTCCAGGATGATGTCTTTGATTTATTATGTGATGGCTGCAGAGAGTGGTTTTGAAGCGGCTCAGTTTAATGTAGCGTACCTGTGTGAACTCAACTCCGTGAGTCTGTTAGAAACACAAGCTTTACTTTCAGCTTAACATCTTCCCTCCACTGCCTCGCTCTGACGGATGATTTATATTTCAACAGGTCTCTCTGGATCCTGCACTTGCCACTCGCTGCATGTTAAGATATTATAATATGTCAATACAAGCTCAAGATCCAGTTCCTTATGGTAATTATGTTTCCCATTAATTGTATTTTATTATCTCCCCCTAGCCCAACCAACCCTAAACCCAACCATTACAGTAATGTATAAACAGATCTGGAGTCTTCTCTGTTAGTATAGCTCATTAACCATGTGGCTGATGAGTAGTAGGCACAGAATGCCCCTTTTGGCCCATACCTACCAGCTGATAACCACTGATAACGCCCATTCAATGGAGTGATTACATTCGAAGTGGGTGATTATCATCAATATTTTACTTCTACAACACTATTACTACTAGTACTATTATTACTACTACTACTGCTAATAATAATAATAATGGTAACAATAACAGTTATAAAGTAGCAGAAGTATTTTATATATTTAGTATTTTTAATGTTGTACTTTAGTAATACAAAAGTTTATTATACAAAATAATTTAATGATCACTATCCTAGATCTAAAGATCTTGTGAAGCGTTTGTGTATGTTCGTGCGTGCAGTTGCGCATTCTTGTGTCTGGTGTCCAGTTGCTGTGTTTTTCTTCTGCCTCCTGGAGCTCAGTCCTCCCTGTCTGCATGTGTTTGTTTCTCTCTCAGCTTTGATCCGGACAGGAGATCTGATCTATGGAGAAAACCAGCATTCTGAAGCAGCACAGATGTACAAGCGAGCAGCTCTCAGGAATGAACCACAGGTACGGCTCACCTGCGCCATGCAAATCTGAAGTTCACTTGAAAAATAAACTGCTTCATTGGCATTGATCATCACATAATACACCTGGAACATCCATGGAGATATTTCATCCACAAAAAGCCTCTTGATTGAGAAAAAAGATCTTTAGAATGTAAAAACAGAAATAAATTAACAAAATAAAAATAAAAACGTACTGTATTTTTTATTATTCTTAGTTTTTTTTCATGCCATTCCCTCATATGTGATTTTCTGACTCCTCAGGGCTGGTATAATCTGGGTCTGCTCGTCCAGAATGGAGCGTCTCTGCCCTTTAGTGTCCTTTCTGAGCTTCATTTACTGCACCTTCACCTAAGAGACAGACAGAAGCTTCTTTGCGCCCTCTTCCAGAGGTAAAACAACACCATTCAGACATTATTAGCTCAATACAGCTCAACAATTATACTCTTTATTATCTGTCCTGTCTATAGATGTAGAGAAACCAACAGCACTGATGCATACTTGCCCTGCACACTGGCTCTGTTCAGCGCACACCTACAGTCTTTACAACTACATCAGGACATCGCTATAAAGGTTCGTCCATATATAATGTTTAATTTTATAATTTATTTAGAATTTTGTTATTTTATGATTTTTTTTAAATATTTGCTTTCATTACTTAAGTTTATTTCTTTTATTCAAATTTGTATTTTAATTTTTTTATAAAATTTTATTTTATTTTCAAATTGTATTTAATTATTTTTATTTTATTAATTCATAAATTGAATAATATATTTTACTACACTTTTTATTTATTTAATTAAAAGAAATGGGGAAATAAGGACAATAAATATTTTGATTATTTTTATGTATTGAATTAAATTTTAGTTTATTTAAAAAAGCATTTAAATTAGTTTTTGTTTATTTATTATTCAACATTTTAATTGAAATAATTTTAAAAGGAAATAAATATAAAAATTAAAATATTTATTATATTTAACTAAATATTTACTTTGTTAAATTAAAATAATAAATATTTTACTTAAAGTAAATAATGTTATTTAATTGTAATTTTGTTGTATTTTTTACAATTAAAATTAAATTGTATTTATTTGTTTTATTATATTTCTTTTATTTTAATTAAAGTAAAAAGTAAATAAATATTGTATTTAATTAGTTTGCATTTTAAATTGCATTTGTTGACTTCCTGCATGTATGATTTGAAAGCATGGAGAATGTTTTGTCTTTTAAAGCACATTTAAAAAAAGTCAACATAATGATTATTTACAATGATTTCTCTGACAATAGAGTAAATATTTAATGACTGCCTTCTCTGTTTTTGAAGCTCCTTGCCACCGTTTCAGCCGCTGTTGGGACTTTATCTTTTCTATTCGGACTCTTTAAATGGAGGACGACAACTTTTCAGCAAACATCAGCATCCAGACAGAACCAACAACAACAGGAGGACGACTAATGAAGAAAACCACTAGTTAACTTATTTTAAATCATCACAAATCTTTAAGGTTTCCCTCTTTATGAAAAGCGCTTGTTTACAATACTATTTAAATTAGGAAATCTTATTATTTTAGCCCTGACTTTGAGAAATTGTGCATTTTGTATTCCTCAATGCACAATGTCATTTTAAAGCATAGCATCATTTTACATTAAACTGAATGTTGTTTTAATATAACGGATTCACTTTTGACTCTTTTAAAGAAGCTTTCCTAAATGAATCCCATGCCCTCATACAATATACTTGTTTACTTTGCTTTTTAATCCTCGTGTTTATGCCATCAAGGAATACACAGTGAAATAACCTGAACTTAAAAGCAAAATTTTACATTTTAAAACTGCAACTGTTTATCACACATTATTTTATTAGGTAAACTTTTATTTTATTTTAATAGCCCCATTATTCTCTAAAGAAAGGGATTACTGTGAAAATGTCCAAAGAGCTGAATTATTTAATAACCACAACAAAAAAATATTTGTAATAATCAGCAACCACAAATTAGCATATTTAAATTAAACTATCTATCATGCTCAAAATCTGCTCTAATGAAGAATTAAATAAACATGGAGTTAAAATGACCTGAAAATGAGTAAAATGTTCAGCAGCATCATTATTTGAGAGAACTATCGCTTTAAAATATGTATTTTTCATCCAATTATCCAATGACCCAATTTTGCTCTTTAAGGTTTTATTAAAGTCATAGTTCTGTCATCATTTACTCATTCTTCACTTATTTCAAACCTGTTTCACTTTCTTTCTTTTGTTGAACAGAAATAAGATATTTTGAAGAATGTTGGAAACCGGTAACCATTGACTTCCATAATAAGGAAAACAAATACTATGGAACTCAATGGTTACCAGTTTCCAACATCCATCTTTTGTGTTCGAAAGAATAAAGAAACTCATAAAGGTTTGGCAACACTTAAGGGAAAGTAAATAGTGATAACTTTTTTTAAAATGCAGATATAACATGAAGATATTTTATACGTGTAGACCATTTTGAGCAATGTAAACAATAAGAATGCTAATTTCACACTTATTTCCTGCTTTACATTTTTAGTTTTTATAGCTTCTGAGTATCCAAAAAGGTCCACATAATGATAAATAATTTTAAAACGGCTGTTTTAATGTGAAAATATGATTGAATTGTCACTTGTTACAGTTATGAAATTGTATGATAGCAAGCAGGAACTGTTCAAGGGCCATTGGCATCACCACATTGAAATGGTCCTCAGCTAAAGCGGAATAATTAATAAAGGACAGGCTTTTGTGTCCAATCACATGCCTAATTAACCTAATAATTATTTTGTTTAAAATTTTGTTGAAAAAAATGTTAACTGTTAAACTGCACTTTGAAATTATTAGTATTTTTTTATCCCAAGCTAATAATTTTTTTGTCTTCAACTTTAACTAGAGACATATGTACTGTCACGAGAGACATATGTACAGTACTTGTCAAAGACAAAATTAAGATAAAATTAATTATTAAAATCATTGTTTAAAAATGTTGAAAAAACTAATTTGTTAAAAAAAAAAAAAAAGAATGGGAAAAAAATCTCAAAGCTAATGATTTTTTTTTTATTTTTACTTTAAAGGGCACTTTGATGAAAATCATCTTTTGTAAGCTGTTTGGACAGAACTCTGTGTAGGTATAGTGTGTCCACTGTCAAATTGGGGTGATATAATCACAATAAGTTTCTCTTTTAATTTTTTTTTATTTTGTTATTTATTTTTTTATTTCCTGAGGTTAAAATAGGACCCAAATCCTTCCCATTTTGAGATCGACCGCAACATGAATAGGAGTGTGGTTTCCCCACCCATCGAATTGATTGACAGCCATGTATTAACATGTCTCCGTAGTAACACGTATAATCATATCAACAAGACAGGACGTGTGCAAAGCAACCGGGATTAAAAGATCTGTTCAGTTCTCTGTGATCATCAGTCATCATCAAATGTGATCAAGAATGAGTTTTACAAGTTTAAAACGGTTTTAAAACAGCGCATGTTTGTAATAAAGAAAGTCAAATCGCTGACTGTCGAAATGTTGAAAAGCTGACATTTCCCAGATTTAAAAAGGTGTAATAAAGAATCTGATGGGTATTTTGAGCTGAAACTTTACAAACACATTCTGGAGAAACAAAAAAATTTAATCTTAAAAAATGGTTAAAATTCATGCCCTTTAAAGAGCTAGAAAAATATTATGTATTGTCATCATGTCAAAGACAATATAAATAATTTATTAGAAGTTTAGTTATTATAGCTATTGTTTAAAAATGTGTTAAAATAAAAATCTTTTTTGTTAAACATCACTTGGGAATATTTGTAAAATACACATAAATAAAAATCCCAATGCTAATAATTTTGCTTTCAACTTAAAATATCTAGTAAAATATAATGTACTGTCATTGTGTCAACAGAAATCAGTTATTAGAAATTATTAAAACTATTGTTTTAAACGATGCGTTTAACAACACTTAATATTAATATTTGTAAAAGAAATAAATTGTCTTCAGCTTTATATTTCATTTTAAGAGGCCTCTCCATCATTTAAATAATCCGCATTTATTTAAAAATCTACATTAGCTAAGTTGAATTCCCATTAAACTTGTTGGCTTGTTTCTGACACCTGATTTCTTCAGAGAGCTGTGGATGTAGCACTTTGGTGTCTCAGGGCAAGCTCATTTTTCGCTCTCCTGGAGGTTTGGGGGTCCCGGCGGGGCCCGCTCTGACTGATGCGAACAGCAGGTGTTCAGCAAGCTGTGATGCGCCACACACTGCAGCGCAACGTTAATTAAAACAACACCAAAAAGCTGAGTAATCCCCTGACGGAGCCACTGCTGCACAGCGGGCACAGTATGTTTACATGGACATCACTCATCCAAAGTATTTACCTTTTCTGTATCTGTCCCAAAAATGAGGGTAAACATGCGAGTAAGTTTGTGTTTGTGTCTATACTGCACTTTAATAATGCGACTAAAATAAAGGGAAACTCCATGTCTTAAAATGATAGTTCACACACAAAAAAAAAATATTCGGTCACCATTTACCGTACTCTCCCTATTATTTCTTTTGTAAACAATGGAAGTTATTTTGAAGAATGTTAGAAAGCAGTAGCTATGACTTGGTACTTTTGTTTCTACTTTATTGATGTTAATGGCGGCTGAATGTTCCCAACATACTTCAAAATATCTGCGGGAAAGAAAGTTATGATAGTTTACATCCGCTTGATTTTAAGTAAATGATCAGAAAGTTGTTGTTTTCTTTTTTTTGTGGGGGTTTGTTTACTGAGAAGGAGATTAGTTGGATTAAAATACTGTACCTGACTACATGTTTTATAGCAATTTCAGAATTGTGAGTTCACCAAGGACGCCAGTAATGTAATTATTTGGGTTTTTTTTTTTCCTAAAGAAGACACTATTCTATAGAATTTTCCATTCATGTTCACGATATGCATGTTATAGTACAGTACATACAGCGGGGAAAATAAGTATTGAACTCGACAGCATTTTTCTCAGAAAACATATTTCTAAAGGTTGAAATTTTCACTGGATGTTGGTAATATCCAAAGAAATCTATATAAATAAAACAAACATAATTAGTTTGCAAATGAAATTGTGTAATAAAATGAAATGACACGGGAAAAGTATTGAACATATGAAGAAAGGGAGGTGTAAAAATGTAGAGAAAGCCCAGACAGCAGCTGAAATCTGTAGTTCTTCTGCAACCCGCTGCCCTTCATCATTGTAAATTATTATTATCTGCTTCAGCCCAACGTTTACATTAGCAGGATGATGAAGAAACCAGGGTGGACAATCCAAGACAATCAATCCAAAACACAGTCAAGGAAACTCTCTAATGCTTTCAATGAAAGAAAATCAAGCTGTAGAATGGCCTAGCCAATCACCTGACTTGAATCCAATAAAAAGTCTAATTAAAGGTCAGATTTGATAGATGAGACTCACAGAACCATCAAGATTTGTACACTGTTGAAGTCTGTGGAAAAAAACTCACACCTGAGCAATGCATGTGACTTCATTCTCCTTATGAGAGGTGTCTTTAAACTGCCATAACATGACCTTCACAGTCATTTCTGTTGAGCACATGAACACAATGGCACATCAGCACTGTTTAAGAAAACGCTAAAAGGTTAGCGGGAAATCAATCGATGTCTACTGGTTTCAACCCACTTGAAAGGTGAGTAAATGGTGACAGGATATACATTTTTGTGTGAACTATTGCTTTAATATCTGAATATTGTTGTCCAATGTAAGTTGTTGTCCATAATTTATGCATTGCTTGTGTTTGCTTCACGTGTGTTGTAATTTACTCCAGGCACAGGCATTTTATGAAATATACTTCTAGAAATTGTCGGGGAATAAGTTGGGCTCAGCACACGATTCAATCAATGTAATAGCAAAGGAAACAAGTTTTAAAGCCCTCAACCACTGTGAAAAATTGCCCCAGAGCTGCCTTTTATATACAACTACCGAACTTCAGATTATGATGTTCATGACTTTAAAAGGCATCAGGGATATTTGGCACTTTTCACAAATTTGGTGAAAAAATAGGATTTGCAGCTTTTAAATGAAAGTCAAGTAAGTAAAAAGAGATGCTTAGCCTTTCAAAAATACTTTTCATTCATTCCAGGAGTTAAAAGTAAAGATTAGCATCATTATTTTGGCCAACATTGAATGTTGCTTTGCTGGAGTTATTGCTGCATTTTTCTGAATTGTACTGTAAATGTTCAAATAGTATTGGGATGAGTGGCACGGTGGCTCAATGATTAGCACTGTCGACTCACAGCAAGAAGGTCGCTGGTTTGAGTCCTGGCTGGACCAGCTAGTGTTTTTGTGTTAGGAGTTAGCATGCTCTCCCCATGTTGGTGTGGGTTTACTCCAGGTGCTCCGGTTTCCCCCACAATGCAAAGACATGCGCTAAAGGTGAATTGAATAAACTAAATTGTTCATGGTGTGTGTGTGAACGAGAATGAATGGGGGTTTCCCAGTATGAAAACAATGATGTCTGCAAAACTGTTGCAAACAATTTATTTGTGTTGAATTTAAAAAAATAAATTAAATTTAATAAAATTCTACTTCATTTTTCTGTTTAAATTCAGCCCAAATAAACTGTTTACAGCCAGTTAATGTAAAAAAAAAAAAAAAAAAAGAAGTAAATCCA